TTTCATCTTTATGTTCATCGATGAATTTGGGACTTTAGTTTCGTAATATCCTTACATTTTCAACACAAATAAAATCTACAGGAAGAAAATACTACAAGGAACAATAAACAAAATAATCAGTACGACAATCGGAGCCCCCTGGCATATGACAAACGAACAGATAATGAAAGAAATGAAAATGAAAACATTCGAACAAAAGATCAATAAACAAACGGACAAAATGTTGGAAAAAATTAGACAACATGAAAATGAAGAAGTTAACAGAATAACTGAAATCAAAATCAGAAAACGGATATAAGACCATCACTAATGCAATGAAAACCAAAAATAGAACAAGATAAAGAACAAACATGCAAACGGAGAAGATAGAACTCTTCGGAGCTCCCAACTCTAGCTGAATCCTCAGGAGAGGCTGGCGCTTCCAAGTCAGTAGTAGGCTAAGGTTAAAACTTCTCTCAAACGCAGTAGAAAAAAGGAAAAACGGGATGAAGAGGCGTATGAAAGAAATTCCAGACCTCATCAAAATTAAAAGAAGATCACAGTTACATTTTCAAGCACCTGAATGATGAAATTGGGATTATTTGAAAATAACTACTTACTTGTTTAGTCACATATTTTGAATTTTTCTTTTTTTTTCTAAGTTTGTTCAATGCTTGTCTCTTTCTCACAGAATTTGATACAGTTCTCTTTTCTATTATACTCTATCGAAAAGAGAATTAAAAATAACAAAACCCCTATACACATTGATGTAACAAAATACACAAATCTATTGTGTTCAAAGTTATGGAAGTTATTTTCCTTTCATAAGACTCTGTGCTTGTGCGAACATTTTAACCTACTATTCAACGCCGCTTCCGAATACACAACAATACGTTCGGAAATAAAACGCACCAGCATTAGTAGGCCAGAAGACTTACAGGGTCATCTGTCCATCTTCTGAGTCACACTGAGCTAAGGATGCTCATCGACGTAAAAAGCGAAAACATCAATATTGCTATAGAAAAAATACCGTAGCATCGATGTTAATTGAATCGATCATCGATGCATTCCGAGCTGAACTTCTTTTTGAAAAATCCAGTGTCTGACCTCAAACAAGATCCTTTCCAAGTTTGGAATAATGTCATCAGTTCCACTTACAGAAAATTAAAGAAAATGCTATGATATATTTGAGTATTGTCGCGACATTCACGTCTTTCGAAAGACTGTTTTTAAAAGCTGGCTCTACTCTTTGTCGACAAAGAAACAGATTAAGAGGTTCTTCTTTATCAAAGTTTCCATTTTGATTTTTTGGTAAAAATTTGTTCTGTTTCTGAATAAGTTTGAACCCTTTCAATATATTTTATGTCTTTATCATATTCTAATGCAAAAAATCATCGAAGCTATTCGATTATGACATCGATGCTAACGCTAACATAGATGTTCTTCTAATATTGGCCATCTCTACTCTGAGGTAGGGATGGTCGATGATCATCGATGTCGAAAGCAAAAACATCGATGTTTCAACATCGATGTTCGCTTTTCGATAGATATCGAACATCGATGTTAACGGAATCGATATCGATGTTAACTCACGGCCTCACGCACGACCAATAGGGATGCTCGATGATCATTGAAAATCGATGTTCAAAGCAAGAACATCGATGTTTTAACATCGATGTTCGGTATTCGATAAATATCGAACATCGATGTTGGGCTTTTGATTATGACATCGATGTCAACATCGATTATTTTTTAACATCGATCATCCCTACTCTGAGGCTCTAGCCTGAATTATACAAGAAAATGATTTCATCATTTGAATAGTGGGGGTATTATTTGGATGGCTGGTAGAAGGGGTGGGGTAGTACCAGAGGTAGTAAATTTACAACCAGTAGATATTAGATAGTTTATACTAGATACTTCAGTCGAAGTCGAAGGTTTTCAGTGGATTTACGAACAAGTGAATTCGAGCTAGAGAAAGGAAGTGTCCTCGAATTAAATTTTGAGTGAATATAACATATCTTAATATCAATATTCATTTGAGTGCTTCACCTATCATCATGCCAAAGTAAGAATATTTGTTACAGTATTTTTATTAAATATTAACGTTTTTTACTGACTAATTAAATTTTTCACAGTAGAAATATATAAATTTTTTTGAAATATTTCAAATTCTTTTGACGTCTTACCAACGGATAACAACTAAAATCTCAATCAATAAATAGAAAGCAAACAAATATTCAACCGAATCCATTTGTTAATACAAAGAGTTGAATTGAATTTACTCAATCACAATTTGAACTTCGTAGGATGAATTACAGTTGAACCCAAATTTTTGGGTTTCAACTAAAATTCAACTTGGCGCAAATTATATGTCAAGAGTATTTCATTATTCCAAAATTGTCATTTGACTATAAATAAGCTCCCAAAAATATTTTCATTCGATACATTATTATATTTAATTATTATATATAATTGCAGTAAAACACATTCAGAATTCATACTCTGAAATAGAACAGTTATTAACAAACCATATAGATTGAACTGTACAAGTTGAGGAACAAATATTTTAAATAATTGCGTGAGATGGCCATTATATAATCGAATTTTCAAATGATAAATCTCGAGTTTGTAGTAATCGATTTTTTTTAATACTCAAATAATTTATGTTCACCTCAACATTCATTAAATCCATTTTTTTCGAATAGAGCTTTGCATTCTTATTTAATGAATAAATTCTCTGAAATTCAACGTTCGTTTGATTGTTAATTGGTCATTTCAATAAAGTAGACACTGAAATTCAATTCTGTTCGATATATGAATTAATTGCTATAAAATCATATGAATATAAAGGTATAAATTGAAATTGTCACATCCAAACAGACCTCTGCATAGAAGAAAATACGGTTTATACCTTGAATTATTTCATATGTTTGCAATCATTCTTTTGAGAACTTCTCAAATTCATGGTTTGATTGACGGAAAATGTGAAACGATTCCTTGCACTTGTGGATAGTTTAAAAATTAGTTAAAATTACAACATATTCATCTAAATTCTAAAAACTTTTTCAAAGACCTGAAAAATCAATTTCATCAGTCGTACCTGGCACTTTATAATAATTAATTTGCCGATTATCGATCGAACGGTTACTCAGAATCGACACACCTTCAGTTTATCACCATTGTTACTTTCCTCAATTTCATACTTTAAGACCTTCTTTGTTATTGGTAATTCTTAGATGTAATTTAATACCTCTACCTGTATATTGACCTGTCCTTTTACTTCCGAGACTTCGATATTAGCCTTCAGTCTACTTCAAGTAATGATAACGAAGGTATATATGAATGTTGGCCAAAAAATGTTGTTCAGTGTAACTTTAGAAAATGGGGTAACCCCCCAAACATTCGTCTACTGTTTATTTATTACAAATTTTATGGCACCTAGCTAAGTGTTTCTCATTTGAAAAGATGAAATTTAAACAATCGAATTTTTGATTTACACCTCTTTTGAAATTATATCATGAGGCGTCTATAAACGACTTTTTGATCGAGTCATAAAAACAACGCGTTTATGTGACTCGTTATAAACGACTTCTCCAGATGCTAAAAGAATACTGACTCTAAAAAGTCAGATCTCTAGAAAGACAGTATTCTGACAGCATCTGAAATAATCGTTTATAACGACGAAACGCGTCATTCAATTCTTTTGTTGAAAATATTATGTTGAAAACAAAATTGAAATTAACTCACTTGGCTTTAGTTTCCCTAAATATATTGAAAATTATGCATTTCTTTCGGGTGGTTAACCCATTATCAAGAGTATAAAATATTACTCAAGTTAGTAATAAATTATAGTATTTATAACGGGTTAACCACTTTTAACGTATATGGAGTTTTCATTTATTCAGTGAAATTCAAGCCGAGTGTGTTAATGTTGATTCATTGTTTTCTTAAATGTTGGGAAAATTCAATAACTTAGAATTTATTTTTCAGAAGCAAACCCCGTCGCTATATGGTCCTTCAGGATGAGGAAAGTAGACGCAAAATGCTCAAGTCGTCTGATAACGAGTTTGGGCATACACCTCTTCACTTTGCCTGTTTTAATGGTAACTACTCGCGCATAGAAAGTATTTTAAGTCAGAAACCGAACTTAAATATAAAAAATCTGAGAGGGTTTACACCACTGATGGAATTTGTTAACAGACCACCTGAAAATGAAGTTATATTGACAAAATTGCTTGAAGCAGGAGCTAATCCTAATATTCCAGATAAAGAAGGAAATTCGCCCCTTCACACTTTAGCTTTTACTATGAAAACCAATAAAACAAAAATATTTGCTAGTATATTAGTCAAGTATAAGGCAAATGTTAATTCCCAAAATAACTACAAACATACAGCCCTTCACTGGGCTATATTCAGAGGCAATGAATATTTGGTGGAAGGTTTGTTGCAATGCGGGGCATCCATCAATATCCCTAATGCGTCTGGAGGAACTCCAATGGATGCAGCTTTTGAGAATAGATTTCGAAATCCAAAAATTTTTACACTCCTTTCTGAACAGCTGATTGTTCAATATTGCTGTGGATTTTCAGTCAATTTAGATTATTTGGAAGAAGTTTGCAGAGATGAAATAATTTCAGACTTTAAGAAAGGTTGTGAAGAAGAAATACGGCAATTAAAGGTTACTCTTGCAGGAGATTCTACTGTTACTTATTATGATCTATTGGTATGTTCCACCCCTGTAGTTGCGAGGTATTTGTCTAATACTAGTATTTTGGCTTCGTTGTCAGAGTTCGACTTCAAACAATCTAGATTCGGCTATATTTTGAAGATTAAGTTCAAAACAGCATCACAACATCTTCATGGAATCAAGATAGGGATTGCTGCAGCTGCAAAAATATTTCCGTTTTTACCACATATTTGTATCGAAAAATTGATTGAATATTTCAATATTGATGATTGTATAAACTTGGATAAAGCTTGTTCTTTCCGAACTCAAATATTGGAATAATTTTCGAGATATTGTAGCACAGTGAACAGTGTGTTAGACTTCTATTCCAAAGGTGGTGGTTTCGATCCCAACCAGAGGTGCACTGAGGATATTTTCTTTGAACATTGTACCTAGAAACTGTATTATGAATGTATATTGCAGCTTTGTATATAGTCATCAAAATTATGAAATTCTGCTGTGTGGCTGATCTACAGCAATAAATAGGGTATTCATTACACAGAAGAAATCGCTTAATATTAATAATTGATTCGATTAATATTCAATATTCACCAACAAACATATTGTAAACCTATCTTCATTAATAATTACTCACTCGCACCACCTTGTTTATATATTTACGATCATTAAGTTGAATTGTTATCATAATTATTTGACAAGGAATACTTAATTCTACTCAAAAAACACTTATGTATGAGCACTCTTTCTATTATGAGAGTATTAAAATCTTACTTTAAATTATTTGAAATTACTGAGAACTCATTTGTTTAAGAAGAGTGTTATTGATGTTAACGAAGGCATCTTATGGGGTGGCAGAGTACTTCGATGATTAAAATTTAGGATATAATGTATGAATCAATTTTATGTGTCATACGTTTGTTTATTTTTTTAACACGAATGGCCCTCACTAAGTGAAATTGTCCCAAATGTTTTATATTTCTGAGGTTATTTTTTTTATCTTTTCAAATAATAATGCATATTATTGAGAATAAAAATTAAACCAATAATTTTGTTCAAGGGTTGAATGAAAGATCTGACTCGAAACTGAGTTCAGTCCTTTTGAGAACATTCTCCTCAATTGTAATTATTGTATCAATTGAATAAGTATTATTTTACAATGGAAGGAATATTTTTCATTAAATTTTATTATTATTATTTTATAACTTTTTGACGATTACTTTTTCACGATGAAAAACGTATTTTCTGAATCATTGTAAAAGTCTTTGATAGATCCTAGATATCTCTGATAATAATTTTCGGTGATTAGAACAATTGAAGCGCCTCCATAGTATGTCATTCTAACTTTTCTGTGATAATATTTGTGATGATTAACCTGATGAAATAAATACGGGCCAACTGGGCTCATCGAAAAACCATTGACACTCGATTCCTAAGATGTATATCACTGAAGATTACTCGTAAGGATGAAACAATTGTATTCCATTCCATTCAAAAAGTTCAAAGAGTTTTCGGAACGCACTTGTTATTAAATCCTGAGAGTGATATGTTGAGTTTTCCTGGACTGAATAAAAACAATATACGGTGGCGAGGAAGTTTAATTTTTTTATTATTTCAAAGCATTCTGATAGGTGCTATTTTCCTTTCTTTAGTACTGGGGGTAGCAAAATTAGTGGATAGGTCGTCGAAGGTTTTCAGTAGATATATGACCAAGAAAGACTTTAAAGTGTCCTTGAGTGCAATATTGAGTGATAATATCTCAATATTGATAATCATTTGAGTGTTCCAGTTGACATCTTGTCTTGGTGAGATTTTTTATTTCAATATTTTCTTTATACATTCACATTTTTGAATGACTAATAATATTTTTCACAGTAGGCATATATAACCTTTTTATAAATTTTTTTGATTATTTGAAGTTTTTTAGGATGTTTCATGTAGTTTGTTGTTTTTTCGATTCAGAAATGAACTTTTCACCTACCAATAACAACCAAAAACTCAATCAATGAACGGAAAGCAGCCAAAGACTGAACCGAATCGATTTGAATTAACACGATGAGTTGAACTGATTTTACTGAACCAAAATTCAAATTTAGAGTAGAAATTTTCCGGTTCAAATGTAATTCATATTGAAAGCAAATTATATGTCATTATTTCAAGAGTGTTTTATCCTCTTCTTTATTTAATTATTCTCGACTGTCTTAAAATCTCTGTTTTTTCTTATACTCAAAGGAATTAGGTACACCTCAACATTCATAAAATCCAGATAAATTGGATACAACTTTGCAGTATTATTAACTGAATACATTTTCTGAAAATCTACGTCCATTTGATTATTAATTGATCATTTCAATAAAATAGACACTGAAATTTGAATCAGTAGATATATGAAATCGTAATTGCTATGAAATCATATGAATCTAGAAAACGAAATAACTTTGTCACAGGAAAAACGGATTTCTGCACAGAAATAAATGCGATTACAAATTGAATTATTTAATATATTTGCATTCAATCCACTATAGAGGAAACAAAGTTTTTCAAGCGAATCGTTTAATTGATTGAAGTTGTGAAACATTCTTCGCAATTGTGGAAAGTTTGAGAAGGATTTCAAAATAGAAAATACTCATCTCGTTATTATGAACTTGTTCAATAACGTCGAAATATTTTTCTCTAATCAAAAAGTGTATTTAACTCTTTATAATGGGTTTGTAACCCGAAACACATGTCAAGAGTATAAAGTTCGTTCAATTCAGACTACTGTGTTTCGAAATAAAGATATAACTAAACTTCTTTCGAATGTTTGAAAAATTCAAGAATTTCGAATTTATTTTTCAGTTGCGAAATCTACCTTCAGCTGGACTGACTACCTTCAGCTGGAGGAATTTTTCCGCAAAGTACTCACAGGTAGCGCTCTCAGAATACAACAAAAGTGCGGAGAGATACACCTCTTCACCTTGCCCGTTCCATTGCTATTTACTGGTGCATAGAAAGTATTTTACGTCTGAAACCGAACTTTAATATACAAAATCAAATTATGTGTACCCCACTGAACTTATTTATAAGTGAACCTCAAAATGGAGTTATATTGACACAATTGATTGAAGCAAGGGCTAATCCTAATATTCCAGATGAAGATGGAAATTCATCCCTTCACAATATAGCTTCACAAATCGAAACCAATAAATCGAAAATATTTCAACGTTTCTTAGTCAAGTATAAGGCAAATGTTGATAGGAATTGCTGCAGCTGCAGAAATATTTCCGTTTTCATCAGATCTTTGTATCGATAAATTGATTGATTATCTTGATATTGATGATTGTATTAACTTGGATAAAGCTTGTTCTTTCTGAACTCAAATATTGGAATAATTTTTGAGATTTTTGCAATAATCCTTCTGTAGCGCAGTGAACAGTGTGTCGGGCTTCTATTCCAAAAGTCGTGGCTTCGATCCCCACCACAGTTGCATTGAGGATATTTTCTTTGAACATAGTAGGTGCCTAGGAACTGTCTTATGAGTGTATATTACAGTGTTGTATATAGTCATCTAAATTATACAGCAATAAATAGGTTATTCATTACACAGAATCGATTACTTCGATTCATATTCATATTTATCAATGAACATCTTGCAAACCTATCTTCAATAATAATTAGTTTATATTTGTTTATATATTTGATGATATTCACTATATGTTGAAGGAAATGAAGATAGTTTTATTAAATTAAATAGTAATCATGATTATTCAACAAGGAATACTTATTCCTACGCAGAAAACACCTATATTTGAGCACTCCCTCTACTATGAGAGTATTGGATGAAGCTTGTTTCCTCCGAACTCAAAAATTGGAATAATGTTTGAGATTTTTGCGATACTCTTCCTGTAGCACAGTGAACAGTGTGTCTGACTTCTATTCCAAAATTCGTGCTTTCGATTCCCATTAAAATTGTGCCTAGTAACTGTGTTGTAAATGTGGAAGCCCTTCTGCTAACACAACAAACGTGTGGGGAGATACACCTCTTCACCTTGTCTGTTGAATAGCTAACAGGAGCATAGTAATTATTTTTTTACGTCTGAAACCTAACTTGAATATACGAAATCGGATATTGTGTACACCACTGAACGAATTTATTAGTAGACCAACTCAAAATGAAGTTATATTGAAAAAATTGCTTGAAGCATGGGCTAATCCCAATATTCCAGATTGAGATGGATTTTCACCCCCTCACATATCAGCATCACGAATCGAAACCAACAAAACGAAAATATTTGCTCGTATATTAGTCGAGTATAAGGCGAATGTTAATTCGCAAAATAACTACAAAGATACGCCCCTCCACATAGCTATACACCAAGGCAAAGAATCTATGGTGGAAGTTTTGTTGGAAAGCGGAGCATCCATCAATATCCCTGATGTATCTGGAAGAACTCCCATGGATAAAGCTCTTTTTGATAGATTTCGATATCCAAGAATTCTTGCACGCCTTTTTACACACGCGATTATTCTATATTGCTGTGGATTTTCAGTAAATTTAGGACATTTGTCGGAAGTTTGCAGAAATGAAACATTTTCAAATTTCAAGAAAAGTTGTAAAAGGATATTTTCATGGAACATTGAACCTAAAAACTTTGTTATGAATGTGGAAGCCCTTCTGCTAACACAACAAACGTGTGGGGTGATACACCTCTTCACCTTGCCTGTTTGATTGCTAACTACAGGTGCATTTAAAGTATATTACGTCTGACACCGAACTTGAATATACAAAATCAGATACTGTGTACACCATTGAACCTTTTCATTAGTGCACGACCTCAAAATGGAGTTTTATTGACATAATTGCTTGAAAAAGGGACTAAACCCAATATTACAGGTGGAGATGGATATTCACCACTTCACATTTTAGCTTCACAAATCGAAACCAATGAAACAAAAATATTTGCTCGTTTATTAGTCGAGTACTAGTGCTGGTAGATCAATAATAAAAATTAATTCATATTAAATATAGGTCCACAAAACCGTCTAAGTCGGCCATGTAGCCAGATCATTAAAACTATATGAGTCGTGTATGTAGCCACATCATTGAAAATATATGTAGGGAAGTGTCATTTTCATTAGATGGAAGAAAACATATCACAGAAAAGCAACACTATTCTGTGATCACATTATAACGCCCAACTTCATCGTGTCAGCATTTAAAAAGGGCTACCAACATCCAATCCACTTTCCCTGTCAGAGGTCTTCACTGACAGTCACTTCTGTGTTCAACAATCTGTCATTCTAATTTCCATCGAGTAACACGACAACCATGTATTGTTGCCTGTTTTACTAAAAACATTGAAAATAACTTATATATTCCTCTATATTTATTATTTATAATGAATAATGTAATACATTATTCATT